GAATATATGCCATGTGTTAATTATTGAAACTGTCCTACCAATTTGATTTGAAACTGTCTCATTGCTATTTGTTTATCAATAAAATTATGGGGAAAAAAGTAATTAGCTTCGATGGATGTTCCCTCTGCCCTGTAGGAGGCCTCTGGCAATGGTAGGTAGGGTTCTAAAAGCTCTATGCTACACTTTAGGAGAAATAGTTGGCTTGTTGTTATTTTTTAATTACAACTCTCTTATGTTTTTTAAAAGAGGAAAAGAAATAAAAACAATGGTACTGGATTTCAAAACAAAATAACAGAAGTGTAACAAAGGTTGATATGTAATGTGCTTTTTCGTTGTTGTTGTTCCAGGGAATGAACTTAGGACCTTATGTTTGCCTTGCAGACACTGAAGATGCTGAGCTGTCTCTCTGGCCTTTATATGTTTTGTTATCTTTAAAGTATTTGCTCAGGTTACAAGATGTAGACATGAAAAAGTGATTAACCAACATAAGCACAAATAGTTATTTTCAATAGATATAATTACCTTAGCTATCTTTTTTTTTTTTTAATCCAGTAATCGAATGTAGGATTACGCTTACCAGGCAGGTACTTTGGCTGCTGAACTATTTCCCTGGCTATATTAGCTATCTTATAAGCCTATAGATATTGATATAAACATAGATATAGATTTCCTTTTCCCTTCCTTTTTTCTCCCTTCCCCCATCCTAGTTGTTCTTTCCTATTGAGCAGTTTCTTCTCTTTTCACAATAATTATTGTATATTTCAGATCTTATTTATTCTTCCAGTTACACTTGGAACACAATAATGTCTTCTTTTCTTTTTAAAGAAAATACAAATTGAATTAAAACAAAAAATTACAAGTGATATAGATTTTCACTTAACAAAATACTATGAATTTCGCACTATTTGTTGTAATACATAGTGTTATCTTTCAACCAGTTATTCATATTACCAGATATATGCATATAAAATTGGGAAGAGTAAGAAAAAAAGAAATATACAAGAAATTAAGCAGACAAAAATGAGAAACGAATAAAAACAGAAGCAACAAATTAAAGTATGAAATGCTTTTTCCCATAGACCAGCAAAAATGCACAGTACAGTTGTCCAAACCATGCTGCTTACATACATAATAAATCTC